TAAACCTCTATTAAATCCCTGATCCAGTAGAAATAGGAAAAGTAACAAAATGTTGTCACTTTCTTGTTCAAGAAACTGGGTCTCACACGCCGTGATGATTACGATCTCCATGATCATAGTTCACTGCTTCCTTGAACTCCTGGACTCAAGCAATCATCCCATGTCAGTTTCCTGAATAGCTGAGACTACAGGTGTGTGCCACCACACCTGGTTAATTCTCTTATTATTATTTTTTTTTTTAGATATGGGGTCTCACTATGTTGCCCAGGCTGGCCTCAAACTCCCAGCTTCAAGCAATCCTCCTGCCTTGGCCTCCCAAAGTATTGGTATTACAGGTGTGAGCCATTGCACCCAGCTGATTCTTGTCACTTTAAGCTACTAAGGCTTGGGATAATTGTTATGCAGCAATAGATAACCAGAGCAGCTAAGTTCAAAGATGAACACTACTATCTTAACTCTGGTCAGCTCTAAATACTGTTTCCAATCCTAATACATACTCCCAATTTTCCAGGCTTCTGATCTAATAGCCTACCTTTTAAGTTTACGACCTCAGCTCATCCTTAAGAATCTCATACCCAAAACTGTCTGGTTCTGACATTTTGCTTCCATCTTGAACTTCAATTTGGACTTTTCTTTGACATTACACCCAAACTTCAGTCTTTACATACTCTGCTGCCATTTGTATGATTCTTCACTACCACTAATTTGTTCCAAATCAGAGAAAATAAATTGGGCAGAAAATGGAAAACATGTACTGGAAAATTAAGTGTTACACTTAACAGATCCCTTCTAATAAATTTAGAAGTACTTAACAGATCCTGACACTTTAGACTTCAGTGGCAAAGAAAATTATATCTAAATACTACCACTAAACAGATCCTGACACTTTAGACTTCTGTGGCAAAGAAAATTATATCTAAATACTACCACTAAACCTTAAAACTTACTACAGTTTTAATATATTCCATGTTATACATGATGGATATTAGAAGATTCTTGTTGTAGATGGTTACCCAGCTATGGCAGAGGAACTATCTCTAATACTCATATATACTCTGGAAAGGAAAATAGAAGTAGAGCTTCAGTTTCCTAAAGAACTTCGAAAAAAACCTAATGGAGAAACCAGCCCCGCTTAAGTTTTAACAAGGGTAATCTAGGTATTTATTTTTTTAATTATCAAAACAAACAAAAAATATAACTTACTCAACTTGATAAAAGACACCTATTAGAAATCCACAGCTAATGTCATACTTAATGGTGGAGAACTGAAAGCTTTCCCTGAGATAAAAAACATGACAACCAACTGCTCTCACCACTTACATTCAACATTATATGGAAATTTCTAAACAGGGCAATTATGCAAGAAAAAGAAGTTAAAGACATTCATATTGGAAAGGAAAAAGTAAAACTATTTCTACTCATCGACTGTATGATTTTCTTAATAGAAAACCCTAAATCACGTGCACACACACACACACACACACACACAACTATTAGAACTTATAAATGGACTCAGCTAAATCGCAGGATACAGAATCAGAATACAAAAATCTGTTGTATTTCTATATACTAACAAAGAACTATCTGAAAATAAAATTAAAACAATTTCAATTCCAATAGGCTCAAAAAGAATAAAATATTTAGTAATAAATTTAAGAAAATAAGTCCAAGACTTATACGCTAAAGAAATTAAAAGACCTAAATAACATTTCATTACTAAAAGAAATTAAAGATCTAAATAAATGGAAAGAAATTAGATGTTCATGGAGGGGAAGATTTAATATTGTTAAGATGGCAATATTCCTCAAATTAATCTACAGATTCAATGCAATATCTAACAGAATCCCAGCTAGCTTCTTTGAGGAAATTAAAATTTCAAGGAACCTCAAATAGCAAAACAACCTTCAGACAGAAAAATAAAGCTGTAGGACTTCCTCCTGATTGCAAAGCTTACCACAAAGCTACAGTAATTAAAACAATGTCACACTGGCATAAGAACAGACATATAGATCAATAAAATAGTATTGAGAGCCTAGAAATAAACACATACATCTATGGTCAATTGATTTTCAATAATGGTGTCAAGACTCTTCAATGAAGAAAGAAGAGTCTTTTCAACAAATGTTGTTAGAACAACTGGATATCAAAATGCAAAAAATGAAGTTGGACTCCTACCTCACACCATATACAAAAATAAACTGAAAATAGATCATAAACATAAAATACAAGAGCTAGAATTATAAAATCAGAAAACACAGGTGAAAAAATTCATGACCTTTGATTAAGCAATGAATACGTGGATATGCATTAAATGCAAAAGCAACAAAAGAAAAAATAGGTAAATTAACTGTCATCAAAATTTTAAAGATTAGTACTAAAAAGATTACATAAAAAAGTAAAAAGACAACTCACAGAATGGAAGGATATATTTGCAAATTATATGGGTGTGTTTACATCTGTAAATGTCAATTTTCAATAAAAGGAACCATGATGTCTTCAAGAAATGGCTGACTCTGGGGCCAGGACAACATAACATGAACCTGGAGCATCCTGTAATGCCAGAAAGTAATAAAGTGCTCAAAGCCAAAAGGATAGGGACATATCAAAGGGTAGAGGACCTAACCTTAAAAAAAGCTCCCAATGGCCAAGGTAAAACAATTTGAGAGGCCGGGCGTGGTGGCTCAAGCCTGTAATCCCAGCACTTTGGGAGGCCGAGACGGGCGGATCATGAGGTCTGGAGATCGAGACCATCCTGGTTAATACGGTGAAACCCCGTCTCTACTAAAAAGTACAAAAAACTAGCCGGGCGAGGTGGCGGGCGCCTGTAGTCCCAGCTACTTGGGAGGCTGAGTCAGGAGAATGGCGTGAACCCGGGAGGCGGAGCTTGCAGTGAGCTGAGATCTGGCCACTGCACTCCAGCCTGGGCGACAGAGCGAGACTCCGTCTCAAAAAAATAAAAAAATAAAAAAAAAAAAAAAAAACAATTTGAGCAAAAAAAAAAGTAGTTATGGTTTATAGTCCAATGCACAAACTAAAAATAGATGAGTATATAATTATATAAATCAAAGGCTAAAATAAATGGGTGAGAAAAGACACATTTTTCTTTAAAAAATCCAAATTTGATGTGTAGATACTACCCACTATAGGAGACGGAGCTTAATTTCTACCATCCTTGCATTCAGGTGGGCTAGACCGAGTGACTGGATTCCAATGAACAGATGAGGGACAGGTAAAAGTAGCAGCTCTATAGGAGAGAAACCTGACAAACTCTACCATAACCAAGTGATGAAAATTAACATCATCAGTGACAGCATGTGCTTATCATGTACCCCCGATATGAGGTATGATGTGACAAAAGGGTATGTCACCTCTGGCATATTCTTTCAAAACCTCAGTCTAATCTCAGTCTAATCACAAGAAAAACTATAAATTCAGATTAGTAAACACTCTACAGGATATCTACCTGGACGGTCCTCCTTAAGATTGATAAGATAATGAAAAAATAAAGATTGAGAAACTCTCATAGACCAGAAGACTGTTAGAGACATGATAGCTAAATACAATGTAGTACCCCAGATAGAAAAACTGGTGCACTACAAATGCAGTTCAAGTTATTAATAATAATGTGTCAACAATGGGTCAATTTCTTAGTTTTGAAAAATCTACCATGGCAATGTAAGATGTTAACAATGGAAGAACCAGATGTTGGGTATATGGGAACTCTCTGCACTACCTTTTCAACTTTCATGTAAACAGAAAATTATTCCAAAATAAAAAGTTTTTTTTTTTTTTTTTTTTAGATGGAGTCTTGCTCTGTCACCCAGATGGGAGAGCAGTGGCACGATCTTGGCTCACTGGAACCTCCAGCTCCCAGGTTTGAGCGATTCTCCTGCCTCAGCCTCCCGAGTAGATGGGACTACAGGCGTGCAACACTATGCCCAGCCAAAATTTTTTTTAAATGTCACTAAATGATAAAACATGGCAATGACAAATGTTACCCTTCGTGTTAGAAGCTTTAATTTCTTTTTTTCTTTCATTTTTTCATGAACAAATAAGTACACTAAGCACCTGAAATTGTTATATTAAACAATTTCAAGGAAATCTTGTGGAAAAAATCTGCTACAATGATACTAGACACTAGCTTATAATAATTTTTCAACAATAAACCAGCCACAGGATTTTTAGACACCTATTTTAATCGTGGGAAAAAGATAAACTTATTATTAGGCCTTAGATTTGTGATGGCAGTTATTTTGCTATGTATTAACTACCTCATTATCTTTAAAAAAGAGGCAAAGCCATGGATTCTAAAGATTACTATCACTTTGACAATGACAATTACCCAGACTTTCTCAACAAAAATAAAACCTCAATAGTGTCTTAAAGTAATATGATATGACAAGATAAACATATGAAGAAAAAATTGCACAAATTAATAATCGTAGATTAAAAATTAATTTTAGTTTTGCAGACAGTACAACGTGTTGCTTTTCCAAGTGTCAAATATATCAACATCTGGCTCTCACATCAGATTACTATCACATAAGGATAGACAGTATTGAAAATACTAACCTTTCACACTGATGGCCCCTTAAAAGGAGATAAGCAAGCAGCAATTCTTCTAATGACATGAAGTTTGGAAAGACACAAACTGTTTTCAGGATATGGAGAGAGCTCTTGTTCTCACCTAGTATTTGGATAGCTGGAAGAATCTTTGATTGCAACACAGGCATCTGATGCATTTTTAAGTGTTTACAAAGTATCCCCTAAAACCCTAAACACTTTTCAGACTCAGCAAATAAATTCTTAACAGCTGGCGACATTAAGGGTGATTTTATCTTATTGAAATACTAAGAATTTTTTAAAAGGTAAAAACCTGAAGGGTAACCAAAACAAAGACCAGATACTTAGTAGTGGTGCAATTAGTATTTGTTAAATAAAATATAAACACATCTTTGATTCAACTTGCTTCTTTATGTCACTCTCTATTAATACCTTACCTGGATCAACCAAAGCTTTGTTAAATATTTCTTTAAGTTTCCGACTCTTCACATTCCTTCCTTGAGCAAGATTTCTATACATCTCATAGCCTATGATCATAACACCACCATCTTCTTGCCACCTCTGCAGCATGTAGCTTCTCTCCTGAGGACGTTTCACAGTTGCTAATTCAGAAACCTTTTGTGGGGAAATAAAGATTTTTTTAAGTATCTACTAAAAACATGTGAATACTAAATATTCCCATTGAAATATGCATCGCTAGTAATTAAAAACAGTTTACGATATGAATTTCATGTGACTATTTTAATAATAGAAAACATTTAAAGTAAGTTACCTCAAGCTTCTCATCATCTTTTAATCCCTCTTGCCACTTCTCAAATTCATTCATCCAATTCAAAGCAGTATTAAGAGGACAAACCACTAACGCCGTGCTGAAATCCAGTTTGTCACACAAAAGAACTGTATGAAGAAAACTTACCACCTATAAGAAAACAGATTGTCACCTTCGTAAATATCCAGAAAAAACGTAATAAATTAAGCAATCTTACAATGTTATAGCTTTGTTTTGCTTTAAACAATAAAGCAACCAACCAAACTGCCAGAATTTCCAAACCAGGCAAGGCAGAGGGAAAGAGATAGTAAAATGCAGAAGTTCAAATAGATGATGTATCAGGCTCTCTCTAAAGCTCCATGATTCTATGAGCAATGTGAATAGTATAAAATGATCCCATACCAATACTAAGTCCTAGGTCTCCATAAAATGTCCCTATAGTCTTTCAGAAAATACCATGGCTCATTTAGAAGAGAATCATGTTACATAATATTTTTCCACTTTAATGTGTTCTGACCCATTAAATCTATAATTACTTTATAGTTTAAAAGTACAAATACATTCACCAATTTTACATCTGTTACAACTCCTGCCATTTGGAAATGCAGTAATTTTAATAGTAAAAGATACTTTACATCATACTTTACTTTTCTCATTACTTTAACATCATAAGCCGTTAAAAGTTGCAAAAAAAAAAAAAGTTAATTTCTACTTTAGAATCTTTGCAGTTGTTGGTCATACCTGAAACCCCACAGGCTCGCTTCATTAGGACCTCTGCTCAAACATTACCTCCTAAAAGATGCCTTTCCTAACTCAATATCCTCCCTTAACATTCATTTTCTGAAAGTACATATTTTTATTTGATTAGCAGCTCTCTCCTCCACTAGAATATAAGCTCCTTGGAGACAGATCTTGTTATTCTTGTTCACTGCTTTATCTTCAGCCCCTACGACTGTGCCTGAAACATAATAGAATCCAATATATATTAATGAATCCACAAAAACAGGATACTTTCATATTCTTCAGCTCTTACCTGTAAAGTCTTACCAAGGCCCATACAGTGGGCAAGAATGCATCCTGAACCTGGAGATTTCTTTGTTTTTTTCACAGACTCACAGCAGCAATCCCACATAAACTGAACACCTAAAAATAACAGCTTCATTAAGTTAAATTTAAAGGTCCAAGTTAAAAACTTCCTTTATATAAACACATCAAAAACATAACCAAAACTTCTAAGAAACAGCATTAAAGAAAACACTTAGCTAAAGAATTTCTTATATGTAAATGGGATTTTTTTCCCACCAAAGTAAACCAGAAACAAGTTAACACAAATATAGGACAGGGGGACTTTCCTTCATCCTCTCTAAGCTATCCACAGCAGATGTTCTCTATTCCCTGAGATGGTTCAAAGAAACATAAGAATACTCTAAAAGAGAAACATGGCCGGGCACAGTAGCTCACGCCTGTAATCCAAGCACTTTGGGAAGCCAAGGCAGGTAGATCACTTGAGGTCAGGAGTTCGAGACCAGCCTGGCCAACATGGTGAAACCCTGTCTCTACTAAAACAAAAAATAAGCTAGGTGTGGTGGTGGTGTGCACCTGCAGTCCCAGCTACTCAGGAGGCTGAGTTGGGAGAATCACTTGAGGCCAGGAGGCAGAGATTGCAGTGAGCTGTTATAGCACCACTGTACTCTAGCCTGAGTGACAGAGTGAGACTCCATCTCAAAAAATAATAATAATAATTTTTGTAAAAAGAGGACAACTTTATCCAAAGACAGAATGGCTTCCTATCAAAAATACCTTTGAGTTTACTGAGTCAATCAGGAAAAAAAAAAAACCAGGAGATAATTTCATCATCTTTTCCTTTATTCAATAGTAAACATTGAGAAAGAAAGGGGCCTAGCAACTCAAAAAGTAGGAACTACAGAACCTCCCTTACTAATTAATTCACATAAACACTCAAAACTGACTTACTGATTCAACTCTAATAAAGCAGAGGGTAGGAACAGTTTGGTATTGTTCTAATACAAATGTAGGAATATTATTTTAAAAATACCTGAAAATGGCTGAAATAGCATTTCTAAAACAGGCTTTTAGCTAGCTACAGCTCTTCCCAACCCCTAGCTGCCCTTGGGCCAATCTTTGCTAACTAGGTGAAACCCACTTGCTATATCTACCCATTTTTAAGCAGCACTTCTCTCCCTTTTTATAATACTCATTGTGTTTGCAATCACCCAATTTTTTTCTTCCTCATTTGTTTATGAGCTCCGTAAAGGCAGGGGGATTGTGGATTACCCGCCCCAATCAACAATTTACCTCCAGCACTTAGCAGGATGTAAGGCAGCTGCCTCACATCCAAATATTGGTAAAATTTAACTAAAAATTATGGAATCATCTAATAGTTTCTTACCATCTACTTGATGGGGTTTCAATTTGATAACCATATTTCTATGAACCTGCACTAAAGGTTCTTTGGTTTCTTCATCTTCATCTAAAACCAACTTGGTTGTTATTGGACACTTGGTGGGTGAAGCATCTTCAATTTCTATCACCTACAAGAAAAGGAGTTGTTGATAGGTAAGCTCAAAGAAATCATTCAAGCAATGGTCATTCTTACTAAGGGAGATTTTCCAAAATATAGACGCATTTACTCCCATACCACAAATCCAATTGGTATGATTTGGATATGTGTACCCACCAAATCTCATGTCAATTGTAATCCCCAGTGTTGTAGGTGGAGCCTGGTGGGAGGTGGTCGGATCATGAAGGTGGATTTCTCACGAATGGTTTAACACCATCCCCTTTGGTGCTATTCTCGTGACAGTGAACGAGTTCTCACAAGATCCAGTTGTTTAAAAATGTGCAGCACCTCTCCCTCACTCTCTTGCTCCTGCTCCCACCATGTGAGGTGCCGCACTCCCCCTTTGCTTTCTGCCATGATTGGAAGCTTCCCGAGGCCTCCCCAGAAGCAGAAGCCACTATGTTTCCTGCACAGCCTGCAGAACCGTGAGTCAATGAAAACTCTTTTCTTTATAAATTACCCAATCTCAGGACTAATACACCACTATTTTGCTTCAATAAAGCCAGGACAGAGCCCAGGGTTTTATGTCTTCTAAAATCAAAACTCTCCAAAAAATTTTAAATCACTTTGATAATGTCAGTAATTTAGCTCAACAGATCTCAGCCTGGGTATTTCGACACACATTTATTACTCAGAGTTGTGAAAAAAGCAGTGTTCCCTGTTGCTGGTTACTATGCCAAAAAAAAAAAAGAAGAAGAAGAAGAAAAAGAAATAAGAAAAAGAAGAAGAAGAAAAGAGGGAGGAGTGGGGAGGAGGAGGAGAACTCCAAACTAATCTACGGTAGTACCATTACAATTTGAATGAACATGTGGCTCCCAACAAAAGATAGTTCTATTCTTCTAGAGGATATTTGAAAATGTGCAATCGTATTTATGATTGTCATAATTATTGGTCAGAGCTGGTATTTAATGTAGGAGGAAGGGAAGGCAAATACAAACATTCTATAATGTGAAAGACAGTCCCAAACAAGAACTGTACGACTCAGGATGTCAACACGACTACCACTGAAAAACACTATGAATACATGGTGTGAAAAGAAAAAACATTTAGAAACACTGGTTTCGGAACCACAGGCTCAAAAATCATGATAGGAACATATAATACCTTCTAATTACAAAAAGGAAACAATTATCACAAGTTCCTTATTTAAAATAAAACTTAAGTAGATATAATATATGCACACAGGTAACAAGTGTATGCTTGCATATATTTTTTGCTGTCTTATCCTAATCTCTACCCATTACATAGTATATTCAGTAGCTACATAAGATAGGTACAAGTATTACCATTTGACAGATGAAAGAACTGAGTGACAGAGAAGTTAAGTAACCTGCACAAGGTCATACAACTATTGAGTATCATGACACTGAGATTTACATAGAGGATTGATCCCCCGAGTCCATGCTCTTAAACATTACAAAATACTAGTTTAGTAAAAGAAATGCTTGTAATAAACAGTTTTATGGTTCCACTGAAAAAAAAATAGAAACTTGTGATTTTAAAATCACAAAAACATTACGCAGTTGGGTGCGGTAGCTCACTCCTATAACCGTAACACTTTGGTAGGCTGACGGGGGTGGATCGCCTGAGGTCAAGAGTTCAAGACCAGCCTGGCCAACATGGTGAAACTGTGTCTCTACAAAATATACAAAAATTAGCCAGGCTGGTGGTGGCTGCCTGTATTCCCAGCTACTCCAGAGGCTGAGGCCGGAGAATCGATTGAACCTGGCGGCAGAGGTTGCAATGAGCCGAGATCGTGCCACTTCACTCCAGCCTGGGTGAAAAAGCAAAAGCTCCATCTCAAAAAAAAAAAAAAAACTTAAAAAAATTTTAAAAACAAAAACATTACGATGGGGAAGAAATAAAATTTTAGGAACTTTTTTTCTTATTTACAATTGAAACTAGTAACAAATGAATTTGTTAAATGTTCAATATAGAAATTTTCAAAAAAGTAGATGGAAGATAATAATAAATCCTATTACCCATCACTCAGCTTCAAAAATTATCAACTTAAGGCCAGGCGCGGTGGCTCACACCTGTAATTCCAACACTTTAGGAGGCCAAGGTGGGCGGATCATGAGGTCAGGAGTTCGAGACCAGCCTGGCCAATATGGTGAAACCCCGTCTCTACTAAAAATACAACAACAACAACAAAAATTAGCCAAGCGTGGTAGCGCGCACCTGTAGTCCCAGCTACTAAGGAGGCTAGGGCAGGAGAATTGCTTGAACCTGGGAGGTGGAGGTTGCAGCGAGCCATGATTGCACCACTGCACTCTAGCCTGGGTGACAGAGTGAGACTCCGTCTCAAAAGAAAAAAAAAATTATCAACTTAAGGCCAGTTTTGTTTCACTGACAGCATCTTACCCATTGTCCAACTCCCCAGATCCCACAAATCATTTTGGAGCAAACACAAGAAAGTATGCAATATCATCTATAAAATGTTTGTAAATGTCTCTTTAAAGGGATACTTCCTCTTTGTAAAACCATAAGATCATTGTCACATCCAAAAAACTACAAACAAGTCACAGATTTGCAGTAAATTATCTGAATAGATATTGTACTTACATAAAATTGTGATATCCAAAACCAAGATTAACACTGAGAAATAGTGTGGTGAAGCAAAAATAGCATAGGCCATTTAGACCCAAATTCCGTTTCATCAAGCTATCTAAACCCTCTTAGCTTCTGTGTCTGAATCTGCAAACTGGGAACGATTATCAATAGTTTCCACAAGGTTGTTCTGGAGATTGAATAAGGCAATGTATGCAAAGTATCTGGCATAGGCTAAGTATTCACTAAATTATTACTGTGTCCTAACCTGGATGTGTAGTAGCTTCATATCACTGGGGTAAAGCCATTATATAAAAATGGAAGATTCCCTAAATATCTTATCCTGTTTACAAGGTGTGGTACACAGAATCCTGAAGTGGCCCCAGAATTACCGACATCTGATATAAACACCTTGCATAATCCCCTCACCTTCTGAGTATGGTTGAGACCTGTAAATATAATTGGGCTATCATTCGCATAATTGGCCCACTAATAAGCTGACTCTGATTTAATCAAAAGGGAGATATTCTAGGTGGGCCTGACCTAATCAAAGTGAGCCCTTTAAAAGACTGAAATGCTTTCCTATTGATCTCAAAGATGATGCAATCTGCCATGTTGTGGAGCGAGAACTCTAGTAGCTAAGGACCTAAGTGTAAGAACTGAAAGGAACTAAATTCTGCCAACAAGTGAACTGGAAAAGGATACAAAGTCTTACATGAAAGAAAAACTCGAGTTAACATCTTAATTTCAGCTTGGTGGGACACTAAGCAGAAAACCCAGTAGAGCCATGCTCAGCTAAGCCATTCCCAACTTCCTGACCTGTGAGACAAATCAATAAATTTGTCTTAAGAGGTTAAGTGTGTGGTACATTTTAATGCCGCAATAAAAAACTAATATACAAGGCTTTAATTAAGATTTCTGAACCATATATTAATCAGTGACTTGATGATACTTTTTTTATTAAGTGCTGTCTTCAGGATTGAGGATTAGTGTATCTTCATCCTAAATATAGGAGGAAATAAGTTATAAAGAAATCATCTATCTATTAGTGACTAAGTAGATCTGTTTATGCACTCAAGCTACAATACAAGGAAACTTTATTTAACTAATAATACTGGGTATACACCCAAAGGAAAATAAATCATTCTTCCAAAAAGACACAAGTACTCTTATGTTCATGCCATGCTATTCACAATAGCAAAGACATGTAATCAGCCTAGGTGACCGTCAATGGTGGATTAGATAAACAAAATGTGGTACATATACACCACAGAATACTATGCAGCCATAAAGAAGAAAATCATGTCCTCTACAGCAACTTGGATGCAGCTAGAGGCTATAAATCTAAGCAAATTCACATAAGAACAGAAAACCAAATACCACATGTTCTCACAAGTGGGAACTAAACACTGAGCACGCATGGACATCAACATGGGAACAACAGACACTGTGGACTACTGGAGGGGGAGGGAAGGAAGAGGGCATAGGCTGAACAACTATTGGGTACTATGTTTACTACCAAGGTGATGGGATCCACACCCCAAACCTGAGCATCACACAATACACCCAGTAACAAACCTGTACATGCACCCCCCACCCCGTATCTAAACTAGAAGCTGAAATTTAAAAAATAATAAATACACAGCAATGAAATAGGAGAAAAACTTAGGACAAATAATCACTTAAGGTGTAGTAAAAATAAATACAGACATGAAATGTCTCCCATATCTGAATTGAAGGGAAAATAAAGGAAAAAAATCACCTGACCAAAATATTAAAAGGTTGAGCCAAACTTCTGCTTCCAGTCATGATAGTTTATTAGGAACCAGGTTTACCTTCCTGCTGTAATCAAGTAGAAAAGTGGGCAAAATATACGAAAAAAATTTTTTTCAGACATTGAATAAAGACACCACAGGACCCTGATCCCTGAAAGTAGGAAAACCAACAAGAAGACCCCTATATTCCCCTTGAATTGGTGCCTAAAGGATCAGGGAAAAACGATTCCCAAGGAGAGCACTGGAGATATATTAAGTTGAAGAAACAAAGATCAGGCTGAGATGACTGAAGTTGCAGGGCAGACTACAAAGAAAAAAGAGCTACACAAAAAGAACTCAAAATCGAGACAGGATTCACTGTGAGTCATGGCTGAACATTAAAATGCACACATAAGGAGTGAAACTTTGTGAAGCCAGGCAGAGCAAGACCAAGAAGCTGTGAGCTAAACAGCTCCCAGCGATCACATGGTACTGGGAGGCATTTGATTTCAGAGGAGGCACAGTAGCCTCTTCATGTATAACCCAGGGCATTCAGTAGAGACCACAAAGGGACCAAACCTTAGCAGTGGGAGAAAGCAATTTGTAAATTAAAGAGTACTGAAGAAACGCATTAACCAGGCTTTTTTAAAAGCTTCAAAATTAAACT